ATGTGTTGACATCGCTGTCTATGGAGATGACTCCATATTGCATCACCGTCCACCTTACTACGCTTTTTGTTGACCATTCCTTTACAATCGTGTTGCAGAGTTCAGCCGGCGCTGGTGTGTACTCAATGACGGGGTCCTCCGATACTACGAGAACAACCACAGCAACTCCCCCAACGGCGAGATCTGCATGGATGAGATCGTGTGTGTGGCAGTGATCCCGCCGGAGACTCACGGGTGAGAGACCATTACATGGCACCTTTGCCGGTAGGATTGTTCAGGATCGTTTTATACATCTTTCCAATCACTAATATATTATATTGTGCATGCATGACTCCTTCTTATTAGAAAGCCCAGCACTGCATGCGTGGCTGCTGGTTACTAAGCCAGATAATGTCATGTCTGCTAGTTTATGTGGGAAGAATGCTCCTTACATTGGGGGTCAGTGGGAAGAATGCTCCTTACATTGGGGGTCAGTGGGAAGAATGCTCCTTACATTGGGGGTCAGTGGGGGGAATGCTCCTTACATTGGAGGTCAGTGGGACGAATGCTCCTTACATTGGGGGTCAGTCGGGGGAAGATTGCTCCTTCCTCAACTAACAATCCATCATTTCTCCTCTCAGGTATGACAGCACCTTTGAGATCTACACTAAGTCGGAGAGACTCTACCTGTTCGCTGCGGACAGACCAGAGGATGCCAGAGAATGGGTGAAATCCATTACCAAGGTATTGGCTCAGGATGGGATTTTGGACGTTTTTTTTTCTCTCTGATATAAAACAACCCGGTATGGGGAGGGTTCATGTAGTTCGGCAGCATTAGATGTATTGGTATTACATATTGTTTATTATTGATTCGACATGTGCGATTCGTTTCCTTCCGAATCGAAATTTGGGAAATTCAGAGATCCGGATGATTCCGAATTACGAATGCAAACGAATCCGAATTTCCGATTCCGGTATTCGTTAGCCTGTAGTCTGTACAAAATTTTATTGATTGTAAGAAATTTAATTGCAGCAAAGTGGCAGAAAAAAAATTTGGTCTGGTAGGAATGTTGGGAGGGACCCCCCAAGTTAAAACAACAAAAAAGTGCCCCCAAAAAATGGGGGGGAAAAATGTGGGGTCCCCCTAACATTCCTAACAGACCCTTGATCCGAGCACTGGCCCGGCAGGGCAGGAAAGGGGGACGACGATCGAGCGCCCCCTCTCCCTGCGCCCTACCAGGCCATCTGCCCTCGGCATTGGCAGGGTGTCCCCAGGACTATGGGGACAAGGGCCTGTTCCCCACAACCCTGACCTGGTGGTTGTGGGGGTCTGCGGGCAAGGGGCTTATTTATTTAAGAGGGCACCCAGATGCCCCCCTTGTGAATGAGTGTACTTGTACCCCTACCCATTCACTAAAGGGTTACAATTCAATGCAAATAAACAAAACGCAGTTTTAGAGAAAATCCTTTAATAGAAAAAAATGGCTCCATCGTTGTAATCCAGCGTCAATCCCGATGCACGACCCCCCGCCGACCCCCCGAAATAAAAAAAAGTCCCGCCGCACGACGACCGTCCGAAACCCGACGAAAACTCGCCGCAAAATGACATTCAGCCCGAAAGTAAACAGATGGCGTCACGGGTCTCGCTCCGCCCATGTGACATTCTCAGCTGTCAAATACCACATAGCATTCGGGAACTCCCATAATGCCATTCGGGTCTGTCAGCCGAGGTGTCATATGAATAGTATTGGGGAGTTCCCGAATGCTATGTGATATTTGACAGCTGAGAATGTCACATGGGCGGAGCGAGACCCGTGACGCCATCTGTTTACTTTCGGGCATCAGATGTCATTTTGCGGAGAGTTTTCGTCGGGTTTGGCGGCGGGACGCGGCGGGACTTTTTTTTTATTGCGGCGGGTCGGCGGGTGTCGTGCATCGTGAATGACGACCCTCCTAACATTCCTACCAGACCTGAACGGTCTGGTATGAATTTGCGGGGGAACCTCACACTTTTTTTTTTTTCCTCTTCTGCAGACTGTAAACAAAAAAAAAAAATTTCGTACAGACTACCACTAACAAATTTCATCCGAATCCCGAAAAACGTAATAACGCAAAATCCGAATCGAGACGAAACTAAACACATTTTTTGCAGGTGCACATGTCTATCATACATATATAATCACACGCAGTACATAGCGCGGAGATACAAAGTGTAACACAGTATAACAAAGTGTAACACAGTATAACAAAGTGTAACACAGTATAACAAAGTGTAACACAGTATAACAAAGTGTAACACAGTATAACAAAGTGTAACACAGTATAACAAAGTATAACACAGTATAACAAAGTGTAACACAGTATAACAAAGTATAACAAAGTGTAACAAAGTATAACAAAGCGTAACAAAGTATAACAAAGTGTAACATAGTATAACAAAGTATAACACAGTGTAACACAGTATAACACAGTGTAACACAGTATAACAAAGTGTAACACAGTATAACAAAGTGTAACAAAGTATAACAAAGTGTAACACAGTATAACAAAGTGTAACACAGTATAACAAAGTGTAACACAGTATAACAAAGTGTAACAAAGTATAACACAGTATAACAAAGTGTAACAAAGTATAACACAGTATAACAAAGTGTAACAAAGTGTAACACAGTATAACAAAGTGTAACAAAGTGTAACACAGTATAACAAAGTGTAACACAGTATAACACAGTGTAACACAGTATAAAAAAGTATAACACAGTGTAACACAGTGTAACACAGTATAACACAGTGTAACACAGTATAAAAAAGTGTAACAAAGTATAACAATGTGTAACAAAGTATAACAAAGTATAACACAGTATAACACAGTATAACAGTGTAACAAAGTATAACAAAGTACAACACAGTATAACACAGTGTAACAAAGTGATCACAGAACTCTGTCATGACATAACTTCTCTCCCCCCTCTTTCCCGCCAGTGTTTCCTCCCGCCGATGGCCGAGGAGCTTCTGAGTTACGACTTTGACCGCATCGGACGGCTGCAGTTTAAAGGCGGGCGGAGCCTGGAGCGCACTGTGGTCGGCTGGTTCTCCCTCTGCAAGACCAACCTGTACACCTACGTGGAAGGGAACGACACGGTGGAGGTCATCAACCTGAAGAAGCTGTCTGAGCTGTGTATGTACGCGGGGGTGTCGCCACCATTCCTGTGAATTCCATGCAGTGACCCATAACCATGTGACATCAGTGGCCACCGATTGGCTGCCCTGTTTCAGTGTTATAACAGACTTTATCTTCTTCTATAAAACTTCTAATGATGATCCTGAGGGGCCTCTGGGGAAGTCTGTGAAGGTTCTCATCCATCCGGGTCATGTTATATCTGTAAAAAAATAAATCAAGGCAACGAGACCTGCTGTATTTTTCTTGAAGACGTTTCGCTGGTCATCCGGCTAGCTTTGTTCATTTGAATTGGGAAAGCTAGCCGGATGACCAGTGAAACGTCTTCAAGAAAAATACAGCAGGTCCCGTTGCCTTGATTTTTTTTTTTTTTTATAGATACGCCTCTGGATAGGATAACTCAGGTCACATGTTGTTGTTTTAGCCCCAATGTTGGTACTATAGAATAGGGGCGGCTGTGTTGAGGAGCTCCGATGCAATGCATGGCTTCTGCTTCTATATTTGTGTGTTCCTGAGATCTGAGATGACGTCTGTGTGATTTAGATCTTTCTGTGTGTTGCAGCCAACAAAGATAAAGATATCCTGGTGCTGGGGGAGAAAGGCAGGTAAGTCGCTCTGTCCGCCATCACGTCTGTATGTAGCGTTCCTTTGTCCTTTTTCTTTGTTTTGATTGGACAGCTTGGACCAATGGCGCTTTGCCATTGGTCCAAACCATCCACAGGGCTTAAACCTCTAACAGCAAGTAGAGGCTGCTGCAGCTCTGGCCTCACTAGGTTAGGTTACACAAAGAAGTGTGGAAGCCCGCTGCTGTGTAACCTAACTTAGCTGTCAGAAGCCGGATGCAGCGTCGCCTGTAATTAACAGCGCTCCGTCCATGACAGGTCACACAGGGGGGGGGTTTTCCCTGCTATGTAACCTGTTACAAGCCGTTCTGAATGGAGGAAAAGCTGTCAGCTTCAGACTTTAAGCTGACAGCTTTTTCCTCCATAATACTAGGTGAGGCTCCGCCCCCCCTGCCTCCCCTGACCGCACATCCCTGTTATTTACCTGTAAAATCCACCCATGTGTAGACCTGCAGAAGCCCTGAGTCTGCTGCTGGGTGCCGCCATCTTGGATGTGATGTCAGCAGCCAGAGCTGTCACTTAAAGGAGAACTATGACAGGAGTGATTTCCACTCACCTCATAGTTCTAAGCCGACCTGTGACAATGAGACTGTCACAGGTCGGCTCAGTAGATCGGGAGGTGAGAGAACACATACCAGGTTCGCTCACCTCTCGAAATTTATAGTATTTCCCTTTTGCTCCTTCTCTGGAAGATACATCAAAGGTTGTGAGGGGAGGGGTGGAGGAGCTGGGTCAGCACAGACAGTAATTAAACAGAATAGGAAAGGGCTAT